GTTCTAGGGTGTCCACTTGAGTAGTATGATACCATCACCTCTCTGGAAACTTTTTTTTTACGCGTATGGTGGTGGTTGCTTCCACCTGGTACCAGCCATACTAACGACTTTTTTTTCTTGCTATTTATAGGCTCCATTTATTGTACTTGTGATTAAAGAGAGATCTTCTTTTCAGTTGCAGTATCATCTGCACAAGGAACTACAGAACTAGATTTAAACGCCTTTCATATCGTATCAGCATCGGTCACGCAGGACCCAGAAATATATATAAAAAGGTCAGGTTTGAGTTTGCGTATTTTGAACTAAAAAAAATATGAAAATCTTTCCTTTTTTAGATAATTTTTGATAATTCCAGTCTGAATTTTATTTCCTATTATAGTAACCGACTGACATTATCATAATTCCGGCCCTGAAAAAATGCGTACAGCTCATAGTAAAAAATTTTTTTCATCACCTGACCCCTATATACATATTTCTGGGTCCTGGTCACGCATAACATCATGCTGCCCCAGCAAAAATACCTAAAAAATAAGAGATGAAAGTGAGTAAAAAAGGAAACGAGAGAAGAAAATGATGAGGGAAAGAAGGAAAGCGAAGAGAGTGTGTGTGCGGAAAACAAAAGTATATATTTACCATATAAAATAAAAAATCTTAGAACTTTTTAGAAAAGGGAAAGGTTCTCTCTTTATTGTCTTTAAACCCTCTTTCCTTTCTTGTCCCTTCTCGCTTTTCTTTTTTTATTTTGGTAAAAAAACTGCGAAGTGAAAACAAAAGAAGAGAAAGATAAGTTTATTTTGTAGCTTCAATGGAAATAATAAGAGTGAGAGAGAAGGGAAGAGAGGACAGAACAGGAGAGAAAAGAAAGGAAGCGAAGGAAAAGCGGCGTGACAGACCCACGTGACCATAAAATTTTTGCACTAACTCCTCGCAGGCCAATAATACGATTTATGAATGATAAAATGAGATTTGATTTACTTTTTTTTTCTTTTAATCGAATTATAAACTTTTAATCCAAATATTTATATAAATAAATTTTACTTTGTCAACGATTCGCACGATAACCTTATTGCGGTAGTGGATTTTATCGTCTATAATAAATACACATCATATAAAAGATTTTAATCATCTCGAATGAATTTTTTAATGGGTTTAACATAAATATTTTTTGTCTAAAAAGTCTAAAGACGCGAAAATTCAAAATCAAATACTAAACTCAAAAAAAAAAAGAAATTATACTTCTTATACTACTTTCAAATATTAGTATCAATAGATGATTTTTTTTAAATTATAATAAAGACAAAAAAAAAACTAATATTCCATAATTGTTAAAATTAAAATAAAATTCACTTTAAAGAAGACAACTACTTTTACTCTTAAATAAAAAAGGGCGTGTCACTTTACTCAACTTGGTTCTCTTATCAATTCTCACTCTTATTACCATAATAACCGGATTTCAAAGGAACTTGAAACATTTCAATAAAGAACCTATTTAATACAAGTGCACAATGTTGCTCAAGAATTCGGTGAAACCTCAACTCACTTATTTAAACCAATCTGTTTCTTACCTGAAGAAGTCGAAAAATCTTAATCTCGATTCTCGAATGTAAGTTCCCAAACACCATTTACATGTCGTTATCATCAAATATTTAAAATATAGCAAAGATTGTGTTGCAATTAAACCTTGTATTAAAAGATGTATTGCAGATTGTTCATGATTTATTCCTTAAATTACATATATATCACTTACTTATGTACTGTACACATATTTACAAGATCTTTTTATATACATATATATACAGTATATATTTTCGTTGCAAATAAATATATAATAATTTTAAAATTTATAAAAATAGCACGTGAGTGACGTGAGACATCACTCGAAATTTTTATGTAGTTTTTATTATTGTTGAATTTTCTTCTTAACCAAAAATTTATTATTCATAAATAATGAAACCTGTTTTAATAAAAGAAAAAACATTCTCATTTCGTTGGAAATAATAAATAAAATTCACCGGTTTCTTAAATAAATAAATAGAAGATAGGATAATAGGATAATAATCAATAAATTCAATTAATCCCCCTTTTCAAGTTCTACAACGGGCGGGTAAGAATAAATTGTAAACATGAGTTCATGTTTAAAGGGGAGTTAGGATAGTAGCATAAATGCGGATATTTATTATGTGATATATTGTATATATATATGTACTGTACAGTACAGTATATATGCAAGATTTAACTTATCGATTATTCAACCAGAAACAAAATATTAATAAAAAATATATAAAAAAATTGATGGATTATCCAATAAACGGCCGATCTGGTATCTTGCGGATTGTAAACTCTTTTTTTATATATATATATATAACTAATCACGTGACTTGTAGCCAGTAATATTCGTCACGATATTGTGAACCAGCCAATTAAATTCTTCAAATTCTTCGATATAAAATTATAACGAATTTGAAGTGCAGGACGGTTACGTCGTTTTAAGAAGAGTTGACTGTAATTCGTTAATTATCCAAAATTCTATTCTTCTAATATTTTTTTTTACTGATTTACTATGGAGTTTGAAATTGATAAAATTTTCATATAATGTTTTATTATTTTTCTTGACAATTTCCAGATATTTTCAATGTATTTTCAACTAAATATTGCCCCCAAAAAATTGCTTTATGGTATTTGTGTTTTGTATTTTAGTATTATTTGTGTTTTATATTTTGGAAAATGTACAGGTAATATTAACTTCCCAATTCCCAAAATGAAATTACATACAATCTTATTTAAATTAGACAATTAGAAACGTGGTGAGGTTAGCTTGCAAAACTTAATGCATTTACGTTTAATTTCATAATATTTGATCATCAATACGGTAGTATTTATATTCTAATAATACATCCTCCTCATTTTTTTGTCAAATTCTTTGTCAAGGCTTATATTTTTAAACATCCGTTATATAATTAGGAGTTTTTTTTATTCTGATACAAAAATATTCAAGGCAAAACCAGTAGATATGATTATGTGAGATTTCCATTTCGCCATGTCATCATATACGACAAGATTGATCAGAATACGTCGTACAATAAGAATAATTTGAGCTTGTGTGTTACTCAATTAAAACATGCAAAATCAGCTGGCCGAAATATCATTAAATAAGTATTAGAACGTCATGCAACTTATCCAATAATGGGAAACGGTGCTCCAAAGTATGTAACACAAGTAACATTCCAACTTTGTTTTCATTATATATCCCTTTTTATTTATTTCTGTTTTTCTATAACTTTTTAGGTTTCTTTACAATGCTATCATGATATTGAACTATTCAAGTTCTCTTTTCGCAATGAGTTTGTTAAGATAAAGCATATTCATGTTCCTTTGCCTTTATGAAAAATTCTTGAAGTAAGGTTGTAGTACTGGCACGTTGAGTTTAGAAACAAGTTTTTGATAAAATAAGTTATCTTAACATATAAAATTATGTCCGTGAATATTCTAATTTAAAGATTTTTTTCTTAAAAAATAGGTAAAATAATCAGCTGTTTGACTATGGTCCTTCAATTACATCTAAAGTAAAGATGGCGTAATTCAAAAAAATCTTGAAGGAATAGTATTATGTAAGTTGATACCTTAATACCGTATTGTGATTACATATTCATCACTAGATTATGCAACGTAAGTTTTCTGAGGTTTTAAATGATTCTTAATAGTAATATAGTAATCTTTCAACGTGATAATGATTTACATCTTGTGATTTGTTTCATCAATAGCAACTTTATGTTCTAAAATATTGACTGAATTATTATGTTCATTACGTAATCTAAATTAGTTCGGTAATAATTCTCTACTATAAAATATTTAAGAAATTTAGAAATTTCGTACGGGTCAGTGACCAATGCGTTTTCTAGATTATGTGTTCCAAATTTGGAACAGGTTTGTCAAATAACGCTATAAGAGCAAAATAGATTAAAAAATTTTCTATTTAAAGATTTTTCTTTCTTAAAAAGAAAAAATTTATGTTAGGATTTGATTATATTTTTTTTAGATGGTTACAATCTTATCTAAGCATGTACAGTATTTGTAATATTACCAGAATATGTGGTACGATGAAAATTTTCCAATGATTGGAACTGGAGCTGCTGATACTTTAGCTTGATCTTCCGCTTTCCATTATGAGCACTCTTGGACTTAGAGCAGGTTTGTTTGTGATTTATAAGAGTAAAGTACGTTAAAAAGTATAGGGATAAGTCTATTAATTATCTAATTTAAATTTTTTTTTGTAAAGAGTGGCGAATTTGCATCAGGATCTGTTGCAACTTTGACCATGTCTTTTTATAGCGATGTAAAATTTAATAGAGGCCTATAATCTTACATTTAATATGAAAACATATATCTAACAGGATATCTTGCGTCTGGTGCATCTGAGGTGAGGATATAAAGTAGATGGCATATTATTTGTATATGCTATTCTAACACTATTAATCATCCATCCGCCCATCTGAAGAAAATTATTGGAAAATTTCTCAAAATCATTAAGTAATCATTTATTAAACATTATTGATATGATTTTTTTTCAAATTTAAATTCTCAAGTTCAACTATTTTAATTCTCTTAATCATATTTAGGAAAATCTAAGTGAATTGATTACGTGATGGATTTATCAACCCCTGAATTTCCTTGCAAAATTTTTTGATTTTATTATCGAGGGTTATTGTTGATCCTTTTATTTCATTCTCATAAACTTATTATTTTATTTGATATCGAAATTGATATCAAGAATTCATTTTAAATAATTAGATAATTAGATATTAGACTTTTAATATTAAAATGTTGATCTATTTTAATATTTTTTTCCCCCATTTTTACATTTTTACATTCTTTGTTATCCTAAATTTAAAATCATTTCTTTTATGATGATTTTTTAAATTATAGGGTTGTTATTATTATTATTATTATATTTTATCTTTTATTTTATTTTTCCTTTTTATTTTATATTATCTTACCCTTTTTTTAGATATTAGATCTTTTATATTTTTAATTATTAAATCTTTTATTTTTTTTTAATCATTAAATCTTTTATTTTTTTTTTTAATCATTAAATCTTTTATTTTTTTTTTTTAATCATTAAATTATTTTTTTTAAAATTATTAATCTTCTGTTGTTTTTATAAAAAATTAAATCTATAATTATTCAATCTTTTATTTTTTAAATTATTAAATCTTATTATATTTATAGAATTTTATCTTAATTTTGTGAAAAATAACCGTAGATTTAGAGCTTGAAGAATTTACAAAAATCTACTTTTTTTCAATATTAATTCAATCTTTGATTTACCTTTGATGTAACAACAGTTAAATTAGTGAGATGCAATAAATACATGACATTTTAAACGATGAGTGTGATATCTAGATTTAACAAATTCTAATTTTTCTTGATAATTAAATTAACTTCATTTATAGAATCGATTAAACTTTTTTTAATGATCTGTTCGTATTAAAAAATTATTTTTGTAAAATTACGCAATTTTTTTAAATAATATAAATTTAGCAAATGTTGCATATTACGATATTACGGCATTTTATATGTTTCAAGCGAAAAATTAAATTGGAATAAAATAATAATTATTTTTTGATTTAGGCATTTTATATGTTTAAGCGAAAAATTAAATTGGAATAAAATAATAATCATTTTTTGATTTAGGCATTTTATATGTTTAAGCGAAAAATTAAATTGGAATAAAATAATAATTATTTGATTTATGATTGATTAAAAATTCTAGCGAATTAATATACATAGATAATCTTATTTCTTTATTCAAATAAATAAATAAAATATCTTATAGACATAAAATAAACATAAACATAATCATAGTCATAAAAATAGGATTTAGGAGGTATAATAGGCATATACATAAAATCATAAGGCATAAAATATAAAGCATAAAGCATAAAGCATAAAAACAATGCGCTATAGAAACGCTTAAAATACTTAAACCATATTTAACAATCAAACTAACCAAAAATCGAGTTTCTTGATTAGTATCACTTAACGTCTTAATTACTTAAAAAAAAACCTCCTAAAAACTTGAAAGCTTTTATTATTGTCTTTTAATAACTTGGAATACTTCGACATCTTCAACTGTGATATTTGCCGAAATACCCAATTGAGGATAACAATCCCCATTTACTCCATAAATCCAATTATTAGAATTGGAACAATATAAATTCCCCATACTGGGTCCTTGATTATTCTTACAATACACTGCTCCAATCGAAGTACTAACATAACCCAACCTCGCGGTTGTAATATTTGTAATGTCTGTAAAGTTAAATAAAAAACTATCATCGGTACTCTTACTACCACAATTTCCATTCCAATCGAGAGGATTATATCCTCCAATTAATTGCGTTGAATCTTGGATTTTTGCTATCCAAATTGTGGCACCTTTATTGTCACAATCCCTATGAAAGGATGTTGCATTAAACCCATTATTAAAATTCTGGTTTGATTTGTGTAATAATTTAAAGTCGTATGGGAGATTTTCATAATTATATGATGGATCTTTTCTATCGATCCATGAAGCAAATAAAGGTATCACCTTTGAATTAAGTAGACTTGAGCCCAGTTTCGAAAATCTTGAAGGTAATACGTCAGATTTAGGTTTTTGATTAGGTACTACGTGAAATTCTAAAAGATTATGAATTAAATCTTTCGGTAATATTTTTTTAAAATTGTACACCCTGTAAAAGAAATCCTCAGGTTCGATATCATAAAATCGAATTAAAGGAATAAACCTTTTCAAAGATTCCTTAATCTTTTCTTCATCATCTTTACTCCATTTTGTTGGATCATTTTCCACTTTTTGTTCCGCAAAACACCAATTTAATATTTTCTCCCAAATTTCGATTTCATTCATTTTCAAATCTGTGCTTTTTAATAATAGTTCTAATAGAGAAGGTTTCAAAGATAAAAATTTATCAGAATTAAACCAGTTTTTCGGTTCTGCGCAGATTCTTTCTACACAAAAATCGCACAATATTTCAAACGCGTTACGTTCGTGAAATATTATTTCGAGAATTTCACTTGGATTTTGACGTAAAAAATCCGCATTATTTTCAATTAAATATTCTTGAATATAAGAAGATAGTTGTTGAATGTTAAGTTCATCTGCTGCTAATAACAATTTCAACATATCTTCAACTTGTAAATTTTTTAATTCAATGTTTCCACAATAAATAAATCTATAATTGAATTTTATTATTATTTAATATTACTTTTTAATATAAAATAAATTCCAACGTACTTTTTACGTTACCTTATAATAATTTCAATTATATGTGGCATAATGTTTGGTTTTTTTAAAATAAATTTTCCATTTATTTTTTTAGCCCATTTATTAGAAAATGCGGTATGAAAATATTGAGACCTAATACATAAAATATTTGAATGAGCGTGTATTTCTTTTACGTTTGGAGTTTCTCCAGCGTAAATAATAACGTCATATCCTATTTCCGTTTCGAAAAGTTGTTTGAAATCGTTTGATAACTCAGCTAAAAATTTTGAAGGCATTTTTTTTCTCATGAAAAAAAGGTGAGACGAGAAATTATTCAAGTTTTTAGGAGACATTTAGCCAAATAAATATATACTGCGGAAGATAGTTGATTAAGTAATATTTCTGCTATTGTATTCTTTATTTAGTAATTTGGGATCTACAGGAAGGTTAATAACAATCGGGTATGTTTGGCTTATTTTTAACGATTTATCAACTTTTCACCTTAAAATACGACATTTTTGATTTATGTGTGACGTTTGATGATATGTTAGGCGCATAGAATATATAACAGGTATAATAATGTTACTATTGTTATTTAAACTCTAAATATTTCTAATTAATATTTATAAATTATCGCGCTTTTTTGTAACCAAATTCGAAATAATGATTTCTTAATTTTGTATTATGAACGATCTTTATTTGACCATGAAAATATTATATTACTAATACTTTATTTATAATCATAATGTTTTATGCTGTGTCGACCAAACACCACAAAAGTCCAAAATTTAACTTCAATATATTAGAAAACGGGAACGGGACCCGTTGTAAAGTTCCTCGTTCGTGCAGTGATACACAAAATAAAAAATGTAACCATTAAAGTGATTGTTACGATTTTATTGGTCCGATATTAAAATCGATAACGTAACTTTTGTATCACTTTTCATAGATATTAATAGTCCTACGTCACACTGAACTAATTAATTTAAGATCTCCTAATTTTTACTTTTCAATTATTAAATGGTGTTAAAAACTATAATAATATCAAAATTAAGGAATTTTCTTTTCATCATGATTTTCTACTATATTATTGACAACTTTTATTAAGCAAAAATTTTATTTATATAAAAGGACTAGAAACGAAAGTAATATCTAATAAAAAAGAAATTAAAAATTTTACGGGACTAAGCGTTAGCGAGGAATAATTAATTCAAAAGTTTTTTGTTTTTACTCCAAATTCCAAAATAAGTTATAAAATAAAGAAGTGAATTGAGAAGAATTAAATGAACACTATACAAATGACTACTTGATGTTAAGTGTGGCGTCATTTGGTCATTTGACATTATTAAATGAAAAAATTTTCCTCTTCCGTGTCAACCTCATCCTCTTCATTATTTGCGGGAATATCACCAAGACCTGTTTGAAGGCATGGTGTTTTTTTTTATTTTTTTATTTTTTTTCTCTCTCGGGCATTCCATATATTGAAATTTCGTACATGACTTGGTTAACTGCTTTTCGATCTTTTCTCGCCAAATAGGTCTTACAGAAACTGTACAGCTTGCTGATAATAGAATCACATTTTGCTCATCATCCACAAGAGAGAGCACCAAGTCTGATCCTGAGTAGATTTCCGGCTGGATTGCATGACGATAATAAGTTTTATCATTAACATATTTGGCTAAAGGAACTGTTCCTGATAGATTTGTAGTTGTTTTGAATTTCATCGTGGGAGTTAACCATAGCAAGTTCGCGTTAAAGATTGAATAGAATGAATAAAAATGAAGAATGTTTTAGTTTGTTTAGAAAGGAAATGAATAATGTGGAATTATTATAAAATCTCTAAATAATGATTTGTTATAACTAAATAGTTTAAAATATCCAGTAGAAAAATTCTAGCAAATATAAACTAGTAGCAGGTGATAATTCTATCTTTAAATCTACTCTATCCCATTTTTGATATCCTACTGCTTTAAAATAATAAGGAAAACCACAGTCAATATTATGCATTATGCGAAATATGCTTGTGTCCTATACCAGTTGGAGTGTTAGACCAGTTGGTCCCATCTCCTCGCAATTTATACCAGTGCATGTAATTCAGTTATTATTTTCTTATAAATTAAAATTGCATAGATGTTTTTGAAGCTGTTACTTCAACTTTGAGGGACAAGAAATTAATGGTGAAGTAAGTTATTTACTTTTATTTTATTTAAAATAAATATTCTAATAGAACTTTTTTTTTGGTATTTGTTGAATTAAACATTTTTATATTATTTTTTACTATGGATATTTATTGATAGATGAAATTACTTTTCTTTTGGACTGGATCAGTTAATATCATTCAATGTCATCTCGTTTTTGAGTATTTTTTTGTTCTCAATATTTATGTTTATCAGCGTTTTGCTTTTAAATAATGATTAAGATTAATTTCATAAAATTATTATACGCTTATTCCCAGTTTTTGCTATATTTATTATGATTACATTTCTTTGTCCTTAAATAATAACTAATAATATCAGATATTATAATTTTTTATATATTTACTCCGAGAGTCTGTCCTTCATACAAATCCATTTTTTCAAAATATTATCATTTTAAATAAAGAAGGCAGTTATGACTTGTGAGAGAAGTGCGAGAAAGTTAGGTGAAATAAATCCAATATATATAATTAAATTTTTGTATGATAGATATCTTTTTACGTAAAATTATAATATCTAATTAATATCGTAAATATAATGTTAAAGCAAGTTATAATTTATGATTTCATATAATTAATTGCCTTATCAATACAAAAATTTATAGAATTTTTAAATTCTATAAATAGAAATTAACAAAATAAATGAATCTATTTATAAAATTCTTACTATAGTCAAAAGCGTTAAAATCCAATTGGTAGTTTTTAAAATCCTGTTTTTCATTCATGATTATATACAGTATAGTATAAATATGCAAACTTTGGAACCTTTCTTTTAAATTGAACGATTCTTGAAATTAATGTAAAAAGAAAGAATTTTTCGACCAAATTGTCTAAAAATACCATTGATTGTCGATGATTGGCTTAACAAACAAAAACTTTATAAATGAAACAATTGAAACTTATTGCTGCATCCCTTTCATCTTTGCTTTGGTCTCATGAAAAAAAAAACTTCAACCATAATAAATCTTCAACCTTCATTTCTATTTTAAAAGAAATAAATTTTTTTAATGACAATCTTATAGATTACATTCATCGCTAAATTCTTCTATTGTTACGCCACATTTGGACATCCAATTGGATATCCAATCGGATATCCAATCGGATATGTGTCCAATTGTCCAAACCAAACAATACATTAAATTAAATAATAGAACAATAAATGTCCAATAATATAAAATTAGATATTGTACAAATCCAACACTACTTACGCTAACCATAATTTAAATAATATAAACAACTATGGAAAAAAATATTCTTTATAATTTTTTTTTTTAATGAAACTTAAATGCAATTGAAGGATCAAGGTATTTGTATATCATCTCTAAGAATACTAGCATCATCGAATTATTTTTTTAATGCAAAAAGTATATCAATTTTTTTTGTGTAACTACTTGTAAATCTTATTTAAAAAAGGAAGTTGAAGTCACATGAATTTATCATCATACTATATATATGCGAGTTTTTTTTTTTTAAAAAAAAAAAAAAATATGTTCATGCAATCTTTTCAACTGTCTATGTAAACCTTGTAAGTATTATCAATAACATTATTCATTTTGAAATTAATTAATAATAATTTATTTTTTTTTTTTTAAAAAAAAAAAAATAGACTAGCAAAAAAAAAATGTGTAGGTTCGAAATCAAAATTTACATTAAAGAAAACTTCAATGATTTTAAATAGCGACACGATTTATTTTAAATTATTTGAGATCAATGCGAGAGAATATGGAATGAGTCGCATTATGAAAAAGTGAATTATTGTTGAGTTGCTCTAGGAATATTTTATCTATTCTGCGATATAAACTTGATAAGAATGTGTAAGTTCAAGGTGCGGGATAATTTAAGCGGGAAAGTTGAAAGGTAATTTGAAGCGTATGAACATTTTTTTTAATTTAACTTATAGATTCAATATATATCTGAACAAAAATTCGTTTCCGATCAAAATCCTATAAGTCGAAAATTTTAATATTAGCATGAACTTATTTAACCTTGTAGATAAAGAAAGATATTCACTAAATTTATTTATTTATTATACTTTGTAAATAATAATATTTATTAATTTTTAATACCGAGTTTTGAAATTAAATTAAATCTTTTAATAATTATTAGTATACTACGAAAGGTCTCATCTTAAGAATTGTCTGTATCCAGGATTCCAATAGGACAATATGTACCAGGTCCAACAGCGGCAATTTATGCTACAAATACCGTTAAATGTAACAGATATTGTATTACGCTTTAGCATCAATTGATACCATTTGGAAACGAGCCTTTAAAATATGAGGAAAGAGAACTAGGTGCCAAATTGGTTTTATAGAAACTTATATAATAGCATAAGACAACTTAATAAAACACAGATATTAATTAATTCATGAATCAAAAATGAAATTGGATATATGAACGAGGTATGCATATTATTTTTTTTTTTAATTATTTTTTATGTTTTAAATTTTCATCTAAATTTCCATCAATTATCAGATTAATGACCATTGTTCTATTTCTATATTATTATTTTTTTCTGATAGAAATTTTATTGATCATTAATTATTATTCTACCTTCTAACGATTATATACCTGAATGAGAGCTTTACAAAATGTTTTTTAATGGTATTTCAATCACAATTATTCTATTACAACGATATAATTGGGAAGTTATTTTGATTTATACGTGAACGTTTGGGAATTAATCCATTATTAGGAAAAGGATAATACTTTAACTCACGCATGTTTGAAGTTGCCTTCGCCTTAGCCACTTTCAACCAACTGATACCAGAAATATTTTAAGAGTCATTATTTGTTTAATGGAATCTAGTTTATTATGAATTTGAAAAAGAAACTTTTACTTAGGGCAGACAAAATAACGCTAACTTTAAAATCTCCAATATTCGATCAAAGATGACCATTGGCGGGAGGTACGTTAACAAGGAAAAACTGGAATATTACTCCTTCAATTGATGAAGAACTAAAATTGGATAATACTTTTTACGGTATGATAAAAACTGGACATAGATGGCATTTCGGATTTATATATTCTGGGCAAGATTTCAACATCAAATTTAGTAAACAAAGCTTACATTATACTTTGGAATTATATAAGATATAGCTAATACTGTACAAATCCAGTAATAAGGAGCAATGGATCATGAGGCATTTTTTTGGTCAGTTAATATATAAGTTCATTCAATTTAAATTTTCTCACAATCTCAAAAATCATTATTACAATGATTAAAGTTATTTACAAAATTCACGAAAAGAACGCTAGCAGGTATATTGAAAAGGAAACCTGTATGGGCCTCTTTTCTGAAGATACACAATTGGAAAGTGTCTTCACGCAATGGTGGGCTCAATGCGATAACCGACGTAGAATATGCACAGATGCATATTTATTCGCATATGACGTCGTAGCGAAGTAGCAGGTAGTTATCAATTAATTGTATAATTTGTCCTTCGTTGTCAAAATGAATTTATTCTAAACAAAGACAATATTATTATTTAAGTCAGGAGACGAGCATGATGAATACTTGAGTGATGTGATCGACCCTTAGTTTGGATTAGTTTGGATTACCTTTGTGAGCAACAGCATTTCATACGTAAATATTATGCCAAAATTACGTAAAACTCAATGAGTTCAATCGTGATTTTTTATTCGTAAACCAATGGGAATAGCATGTGAGCATCATTTTAGTATCTAAATAGCGTTTAGATAGCGTGTAGATAAGTTTTGTAATTTAGTAATTTAATTAGATTATAGTAAAGTTGTTATTAAATCGGTACATGATGTACAGAATGTGCTTTTAATCTTTATTATTGAAATGTGATTGTAACACCACCATCAATGGATAATCCGGATAATCCTGATAGTCCATCATCTCATCCGTCTATCCGATCCATTTAAACATTTAAGTTTATTTGATTGTCATTTTGATATTCGATCGTAATATATCAAATTGGGTTAAATAATCAATCCATATATATATATATTGAATGGGGGTGGGAGTAGCTAAAAAAAAAAAGGGAGATGAAATAAATCAAACGAATGTTACAATAATTTCTGGAGCAGCTGATAAAACTGCTAGAATTTGCTAGAATATGTTCATCTATATCGGTCACAGGGTCCTTCATTGATTGATGAAAATGGCCACTACGTAACCCATTTTCATCCAATCATTCGGTCCCGTGACCTCCACATCCAATAAAAGTCTGACGCTTTTGTTCATGCATTAATTATAACCTCTTATTTCTATAAATTTCATTTTTAAATATCTGCTATTTTTAATCCACTTCATAAACTTTATTTAAACTTTTTCTATAAAATTTTCATACATTATCTTATTTCACTTTTTTATATCAATTATGTATAATCATGCGATAAAATAAAAATATCAATCTATGAAGATAAGGGGATTTGTACGGAGAGATTAGGATTTAGGAAAATGGATTAAATGAGACGAATGGACAAATGAGATAAGAAAAAAGAAAAAAGAAAAAAAAAAAGTCATATTAAGTGTGATCGACAAAATAGAAAATCCATTGATTAGTTCCCAGTATCTCCAACTCTGACATATTAAAACCACGTGATCCAAATGCATTACTATGAGTTTGTGGCGTCTTACGTTATGCAGAAAAAAACGGCGAGTTGTATTTAAGCCCTGTTTAGCCTACAAACTAGCCCTACATAAGCCGCATGCACCGCATGCACCGCATGCATGTAACGAGTCTTTCATAAGATACTCCTATCTTTAAAAAAACTAGCAAATGACTAGAACATATTTATATAACTTAAAAAGTAAAATGAATAATGTTATATTGTATGCATGAATTATTAATTCATAATTTTTTTCTTATAAACTTTATCCGAATTAAAAATTTATGCATTATACATCTTAATTGATTGATTTATTTAGTTAAAAATTCCTTAATTGTTATTAGCCTTAATGTTTTCTTATAAATCATAATTTCCTTACAAATCATAGCCTTAAGAAATCAGTTCATAATATACCCCACTATTTTCTAACACACTAACGTACTCGCTGTGTTTACATAATTTTTTAAAACTATAAATTTCTAATTTCTTTAAACTCTCTTTACAGCCCTTCAAAAAACTTTCTAGAGCCATGGCACTAAAAGGCATTTCGATCCAATGACCAATCTTTAGTACCTTGAGAGTACAAGGTAATAATCTTCCCAAATCTTCCAAAGAATCATCCCAATCACTATGTTCATTACAAAAAAAACTAAGTACTTCCAATTGTTTACAACCGTACCAAATCGAAAATAAATCTTCGCTATTTAATCTACGTAATTTTAGGTAAGTAAGTTTTGTACAATGTTCAGATATACAATTAATTAATTTTAGTCTTTTAAGTAATGATTCATTATCATTACTACCATCTCTTATCCAAAATATATCCAAATATCTAAGAGAGGATGATGAAGATTTTAATATTGTTAATAAGAAATCTAAATCTTCACCAAATTGACATGTTTCATAAGTAAATTCTACCAAATTTGAACATTGTTTCATTGCATCACATAATAATGAACAATTTAAACATGAAGCAACTTTTAATATTTTTAAATTCTGAGATAATTTGATTAAAGAGTTCATAGATTTTTGAGAAATATTCCCGAAATTAATGTTTTTAAATGATATATCACTTAATGTAGAAATAATATTTGATTTTGATATAATTGGTTCATAATATACTGGTTCGGTCAGATATTCCAAATCTAATGAACGTAAATTAGTTTGTGAATTTAATAGAATTCCTAATGAATCTCCTAGTTCACTTTGATAACTTTGACAAGCATTGTTAACTCTTATATGAGTTATATTTTTTGAAACACGTGATAAAGCAAAAATTAATTCATAAACTTTAATTAGTTCATATGAATTATAGACCTTAGATGTTGAATTAATTGTAAAAGATTTAATATTATTAAAATAATAATTATTTTCATCTTTTAATAGCGTGATCATATAATCCATCATATTACAAGGTGATACTGATAATGATCGTATTTTATTAGATTTACTACATATTAATTTTATTAATTCTTCAAGTATCAAATCACCTTCTTTTGAATATTTTTGTTGAATTTTTCTAATATCTTTTAAATCTTCGCTTTTTTCTTGAAAATTTCTTCTTTTTTTATTAATTTTTTTAATTTTTTGTTCTTCTTTTGATTCATTAATCAAATTGTATATACATATATCGAATCTAATTGAATCGATGACTAAATCTCTTAAAAATTCGTTATAAGCGAACATCGGTTTCTTATTATTAAACATAATTAATTTTATTCCTGATTCTTCTAATCTTTCAATCGATCGTTCATTTAAACATGTTAAATAAGTTTTTAAAATCGATTTGAATTTTTCATGGGACATATTATATGAAAACGGATGTTCCCATAATATTTTAACCATTATTCTACACCATAATCTATTCACTAATAGACATGAATGTAAATCCGCTCGTGATTCAAGATAATTAAATATTTGAGTCCAAGTTTCGGTTGATAATTGAGATTCCATATTTTTTTTTTCTCGTTAACTTTTTTGAAAGAAAGGAGGGGAAAAAAAAAAGATGGGATGGAAATAACGAAAAAAAATGGTGAATTTATCCTTTTTTTTTTTTTAAAAAAAAAAAAAA